GTTTTGGGAAGATGCTTTTGCGGAAGAGAACTTCACACAGGCCGCATCGTGATTATTAACGGTGTGAGATGAGCCAGTTAAATTCAGACACGTTCTTGTTATAGCTCGAATGCATGGTAGCTGTAAAAGTAAACGAATAAGTGGGACATTGGTCGTATCAAATTTGTGAGACCCGAACATATATGAACTGCGGAAAAAATAAGTATTAACAGTTTCTAATTGAACACATTGAATGGACGATGGTGAATAATTTGACTAATAATTAATTGGTTTACTAATAAAACAATGAATAATGAATAAACTAAAACTAATTGTTACAATGATTCGCACTGATTGGACAAATAATTCTACAATTTAACGGTCGAAGATGTCATACGTTAGGAGATGCCATACAGCGAGTGCGCCTACATACATGGATCAAAGCGGGATTCAGGGGATTGATTCCTTTTAAGGTGAATGAAAGGCAATATACAGTTATAAATTAATTGAAGTTTACTCTTGCTATATACAAATGAATCAAATGAGTTAATCAGCACATTTGCACTGGACATGGTGGGAGAATGGGTTCGTAAGCTTCCGCGGCCGGAGTCAATGCATTCTTGGCTATCCGGGATGACCCGCGTCTCGGTCAATTGTACTGACGTTTCGGCCACACTGCTGGCAGTATAGGTCTTAAGAAGGCCACAGCAAGATGGCCGAAACGTCAGTACATTTGCCCGAGACGCGGCTCCTCCCAGATAGCCAAGAATGCATGGTGGGAGAAATTTCTAAGGGTGGCGGCGAAGGATTTTCTGAAAGACTGAGGGTGCGCCAGCGAAAAGCAGTTAGGGGTGGCGTCCAGGTAGCAATCACGAGATTGAACATCGACCATGAAACACATATAAAACAACAGTGAGATACATAAAATAGTAAACACTTCATAATTAGATATATTAATAAGAATATAAAGATACTCAATAATATCATCTACATCTATCACATAGCTATAAATGTAATTTTTTCTCTTTTAATTACCTAGGGTCAAAAAAGAAAGTTTCCATTTTTGTAGTTGGCGTGTTACTGTATTTTTACTATATGCGTGCGGATGCAGCATGGTCAAATGACTAACTTTAAAATCGATTCACTGAAAACATTCGTCATCCAATTGGAAAGCACATCATACTGACAATTCGAACAGCAATACAAACATTGCGGATTCTGTAACTAAAACCAAAATAATATGATAGGATACGAATACTTATATTTCTCTCTGCTACCCTTCTATATTAAGGAATTTTAGCAAATTTAACGAAGTGAGCTGCGTAGACGCTCTGCACCTGCCACCTCGCAAACAGGGCTCTTGTGGTTGAAAGCGCTGAGAGAATTTTAAGTCAATAACCTTTTTGATGAAAGCGTAGACGTTTGCGGCAGGAGTCAATATATATTTGGCTGTCCGGGAGATGCCGTGTCCTAGGCACAGAAGTCAACGTTTCGGTCGTCATGCTGCGACCTTACTCAGCATTTCGCCCTGAGGAAGGTCGCAGCATGACGGCCAAAATGTTGGCAGCTGTGTCTAGGACGTGGTATCTCCCGGTCAGCTAAGTAGAAATGTTTTGGCAATTAGAAAATAATAATTTTAAAACAGTTCGAAACTATTATTGTTTAGCCATTATATGTTTTTTATATTTAAAAGTTGTTTTAAACAAATTATATTAGTTCCTGCCTAAATGACAGAAGCCTACCATTAACGTTGAGAGAATTTTTATTGATTCGTGATAAAATACTTATTATGTAAGTATAGTTAGTTATATTGAGCGTTGGTAGTTGGTGGGGTACCTCTCATGCCGGGATGAAATATCCGGCGGCTCGTGGGATTTTCACATTCAGGTATCGCCCCCAAAAGGGCACCTCTGAAGCCGGCACAAGCTTTATGTTCCCTTCATGTGTGGTTGTATAGAGTGTTTAGGTGTAAGTCAATGTGTGTAAGTAAGTGGTGAGGATAGGAAAAGGAAGTGGAAGAAAAGATTGCGCGTGGTTCGTTATCCGTTTGTTAGGATACTGATTCGACATTCGCTTGGGATTTATGGATTGCGAAATTATTGAAAAGCCATCGGCAACTATAATTCTCCAGACAGTGGCTGAAGTCGATCCAGCTTTGTAGCAAGTGCCGACAATCAGCCACTGCCGAGACACGAATCCTGGGACCGCCCGGTCAACGGTGCTGAAGACGCAACGGAGATGCTGGTGAGCAAACGCTGAGGATACATGAAGTTAAAATGACCATTAAAGTAAAAACACTTACGGGACACATTTCAAATAAGAGCGTAGGCTTCAGCGGCCGGAGTCAGTATTTACTAGGCTGTCCGGATGACGGCGCGTCCATGGCGAAGGTGCCGACGTTTTGGTCGGCATTTTGCGACCTTCCTCAGGGCGTAATGCCTTCGCCATGGACGCGGCGTCACCCGGACAGCCTAGTAAATACATTTCAAATAACTGCCATCTTCGACATTAAAGTACGGGATAAAAAAGTTTCAATTCACAAAATAAACCAATTTAATTTTAAAAAATCCGCCGCTTTTTTTTCGCGCAGCACTACATAACTTCCCGTACACTACGTAGATTACTCCGTATACACGTACGTATATGGGAAAGTAAAACTTGAGCTCCATTTCATAGGCATCTCGCCGCATCAGCACCTCGTTTCCGGTGGTGCCGCGCGTCGTACTAGCTGTGAATCGGGTCGGGTTCGGGTCGGCCGGGCGGGTCGAGAAGCAGTTCCGCATGGCGCTCTTTGCCGGGCGGAAGAGAACCGGGCGACGCGACGAGGAGTCGCCAGGGGCGGGGGCGGGGAGAGCGACGCGGATGGAG